AAAAAATGTCGTATTACACAGACTATTTGCCGCAGTCTGGCTGGACACAATTCAAGAACCACTTGTCAAAAGAAAGGAACTTTATTTTTAGAACACACACACCAAACCACACAGCTCCTCAGGAAAAACCTTCAGAGCCCAACTGCCACCACCGGCTTCCCACAAGCCTCTCAATCTCCCCCACTCCTCCTGCTCTTGAGGTCGATTGGCTGGTCGTATGGGCAGAGCCAAAAAAAAGTCCCCCAATGAGCAGCTCCATGGTCTGAAAGGGCGGGGAAACAGCCCAATGATCATCACTGCAGAGGAGCCAATCAGTTGGCAGCTAGAAGTTTGCTGGGGCCGCTGTGAGCCAATCATCAGCTGGCAGCTGGAAGTTTGCTGGGGCCCCTTCGGGTGTCACTCTCAACAACTATTAGAGGGCTTGGTATGCCCTAAAGCCAATTGCCCTTTTACTAATTCCTGGATATACTGTAACTTTTCTTGGGAAAGTGGCCACGGTTCCACCCATTCCAGTTCATCAGAGATCCATTGCAACCATATGGGAAAAAGGTGCTATAATACGAACAGTGGCCTTTAATATTGGGGGGAATATTTGAAATCCCCCTCTTAAGGTTGGATCTTTTAAATCTGTGTCTATTATGTCATCATAGAAGGCCTGGTCATCAGTAGTGAGCACTGCTCCCATGGAGTCCAAGATATCTCTGCCAAATAGGTTGTTAGGTATTCCTTCCATCACGAGGAGTTATACAGTCCCTTGGTTGTCATCCATGTCCTCTCATGTCCTCCCATTTCCAGCTCTGAACTGCCTGCCAAGAGGGGGTTAGCCCTCCAATGCCTGTAATATTGGACCCTGGTTCAGTGGCCCATTGTGGTGAGCCGTTCCTGCGGACTGTGGTCGCCATTACATGATGGCGCTGGCTCCGTTGTGGTCTGTGAAGGACAACTCCATATCAAAGAGAGTTGGCGTGTTCCCAGCTCCTTATCAGAGAAAGTTGGCGTGTCGTTTTCTAGCACCCTGTGAGAAGGGTACACGTGGCAGCTTCGCATTGGGGTTCGTGGTGCTTTATTAAGGCTGGGAGGGGCATCCGAAGTTGAGTAGAAGAATTATTAGAAGAATATCAAGGGCCTGAATAAACTGCTGAAAGAAGATTCCTGAGTCGCGTCTTCCTTGCGGGCAAGGGGGGTCGCGACAGCCCATGACTCCAGTACCTCCTCCAACCTCAGTGAAATTAAATTGGCCCCTGTGTCCATCAACCCTTTGAAAATGTTCTTATTTATCTTTAGCATTGCCCTGAGTTTGTGGTCCTCACTAATAGGGATTGTGCAACATATTCCAGAACCCCTAATATTCATCAGATTGGTTGTTTGTTTTTGTTTCCCACTGTTTGGACCCTCCCTTAGTCATGGGACTGGGGGGTGCCCCAAGAGGAATTTAAAGGCTTTCCATGAAGCCTTGGCTTGACCAACAGTCTCTAGCTCAGTGACATCCTTCTTCACCATGAGCAGAGGCCAGATTTGTCCCCTCCTCCATGAGAAGGGCAGTCTCAAGAGAGATGCCTTTTTCCTCCACAGCTCCAGCACCCATCTGCTCTATTTTGGTGATTATCAGACAGAGTTGAAAACGCCAATGTCATCAACATGGCCTATTGGCCTGGTGTCCCTATATCTTGAGCGGCCAAAATCCAGTCATTCAGTGTGCCATTGCATACCAGCACCATGGCTGCCCTATATTCCTTATTTAGTCCATTCCAGATAAATCCCTTGGCTAAGGCTGCCCTAGTTCATTCATGAGATACCTTCCCTTCCTACCACCTTGTTTACTCTGTCAATAAACTGTGGCATGTCTTCAGTGGCTTTCTACCTTAAGCTCTGTATAGAAACTGTACCTCTCCCAGCTGGCAACTTCCTCCAGGCTCTCAGAGCACAGAGCTACACCTGACAGACATAATTTGGTGTACTTGTAGCCTGTACTGCAGGGGAACTGTAGATTCCCTCTCCCTGCAAGCATTCAGCTGGGAAGTTAATATTTGTGGTGTGGTTATGATCCCCCTGCTGTTCACATTCATCATAGAAAAATTTCTTCCACTTCAAAAATGTCACAGGCTCAAGAGCTGCTCTGGCTAGGTCTTTTCAGTCTTGAGGGCAAGTATTTTCTTTGAAAATGGTCCTTGGGGCCCATCCTCTTTTACTGCCTTCTTTAACTCCTTTAGTGTACCCAATGTGTGTGGAAACCAAGTGGCAGTGTGCTGTGGTGTGGGGGCCATGTTTACTGGGAAGGCTTTTATTCCCTTACCCCACTTCTCATCTCTTATCTTACATAGAACTTCAAAAGGATCTCTGGCCTCCTGGAATGAGTTTCTGGGAGGCCATGGCTTGGGCCTGTCTGGTGGTCTGGTCATTTCTAAGCTGTCATAGTTCCTTGCTGTCTTTGGTGTTGCCTCATTAGAAGGCAGTTGCCATTGACTCAGGGAGGGATATAACCTTTGCCTGTCAGTAGAAGGTGCACTTGCGCCATTTGTGGTCACCTCTTCCTGCACCATGAAAGCTAGTGGTACCGTTTCCTGTCTCTCCCTCCTGCATCTGCTGTGGTTACTTGGTTTGAAGTAGATTCACACCCTCACTTTCCTGTGTCTGCTGCAGTTTCTTGCTTTGATGTAGATTGTTGCCCCCATCTTTTTCCCCTTGTCTGTCTTTCACAGCCTCATCTTCCCTCAGAGCCATCATTATATGGCAAGGGTCTGTCACAGGGCCCCCTAAACTTTGCTGAATGGCTCACAATAAGAAAAAATGTATTGGTAAAAAAAAGTATACCCCTGTCTCACTTTAGCTTGTCACGCATTTGCCATTATCTTATCCCATATCCTAGGATCAAAAACATAGCATCACTTATCCATGAACTGGTATCAATCACAACATCCCAGAACTTCTGGCCTTCTCCCTTATTCAGGGTTAAAACATTAGTATCCAAGAGAGTGCACAGCACTTGCAGCTGTGAGTCTTTTGTGAAACTCGATAGGTTCCCCATTTCCCCTTCCTCACTGTTCTGTGAGGGGCAGCACCTCAGGTCCCTGTTCGGGTGCCAGATGTGTGGGCTCTCTCTTGTCCAGTGAGGAGGTCCATGGAATAGGGTCGAAGAGAGTGTGGCTGCTGAGTCACTAATCAAGACTTCCGGAGACCATGCAGGAAGCAGGTCTGATTTTATTGCATAGTTATGATGTATATATACTAAGGCAGATTACAGGCAGCCACCAATGCAATTTCTGCTAACTGTCCTCACAGTGACCAATCGAAGAGTGAGCCTTGGAGCAAGCACAGAGACTGAAACACATGGCCTCAGGCCCAGGGCTGTGCCTACAAGGTAAGCATTCTGCCACTCACATGGCTAGCACAAAGGGAGTGGCCTGCCACTCAGATGTCCTTAATGTATGACATGTATGCAGTACTCCATGCACTTGTCCCCACACATATGAACCTCTCTAAATGAAAGTAGAAAAATGTGGTTGCTCCTTTCTCTTACTAACACTTTTTCCTTGGCTCTTTTTCACAATCAACATTCCTTGTTGGGTGTGTGGGAGACTCCCCGCTGAAGTTAAGTTTCTGTCTTGCAAGCACATCACAGAATCCCTTACCCCTCCCCCTCCTCTCCGAAGGGCACCAAGCCAAAGAGTGCCAAATTCAAAATTCTCTCTCCCTGCAGGACACAGTGTTCATTCACTGTTCCTGAGTCACCCTGCCAATCAGAACCCTCCACATTGCCTGCACAACCCTTATTAAGCCGAAGCTTTCAAACTCATGCTCTCTGCCCTCTTCCTCTTCTCTCCCTGCCCTCTTCTTTCTCTCGTCTCTCTGCTCTCTTTCTCTTTCTCTCTGCCCTCATCCTCTCCTCTCTCTGCTCTCTGCCTTTCCTTTTCTTCCTCTTTGGGTAGCCCCCTAATAAAATCTCTTGGTTGAATCTCTGACTTCTGTGAGTCATTCGCCTTTTATTCCTAAATCAGGCAAGTGCTCTTCCTTCCGGTGCTATTTAATTTATCCTAATTTAACGTTTTCAACTCCTTTATCTTTATCTAAAAATTGAATCATGCTGTATTTAAATCATGAAGTTTAGTAATTCTTGAATAGTTCAGAAAAAAAGTATCTGAATCTAGAAATGTTGTTGAACTTCAAATATTTTATACACACTAGTTTATTAATAATTAGAACCTCCCCTGTACTTAAAAATAAAAATTTTAAGTATTGAGATAGGTGTAGTGTTAATTTTTATTCTAAGTATAAATTAAATCCTGACATTAGAAATGAAAAAATTATCATATTTTAACTTTTCCTCTGTCCTACTCTCATTGTATTTGTGGCTATTTGTCAAACTCTTAAAAATTTATATTCTCTTTTTTAATCATAATTTCTCTACTTTCTTCTTGTTTCTGTGCACACATGAATTCCATGTTTATGCCATGCTTAATCCATGTTTTACCATACTCATATATGAGACTTTTAAAATCAACTCATAGTTTTCTGGATTTCATGGTCAAGCTAATGATTCTGAGTCTAGGCCTTTCTGGTACTACCAAATCCTCACCTTTGGGGATATTGAGTAACTAAGTATCCCTAGACACAGACAAGTATTTCTTTCATCTAATCTTTGTCACCTCTCTCTAATTTTGATATCAAGTGGAATGTTTGAAAATTCATGTTAATGATGGAAATTTCCCTGTATAAAAAGTTACCACCTGGGCTGGGGATGTAACTCAGTGGACAAGTGCCCACCTCACACTTGTGAGGCACTGGGCTCAATCCTCAGCACCACATAAAAATAAATAAAGATATTGTGTCCAACTACAATTAAATATATATATATACATATAAAGTTTCTACCTAAGGTGAAGGGCTTTAGTGAAGTGCATTTCTGTGAATACTGGCTGAATCTCTGAACTTTGCTGATGTCATCAATGGGTCATAATCTACTGCTGAGGTATTAGTAATAACTGGGCTCAAAAGAACCCTGATGTTGTACCCAGCATCAGGACAGTGATTTAGTGAACAGATAGCCTCTCCACATTTTATTGTTATTTTTAAAGACATGGATTTTATTCTTAGATATCATTAACTCTTTGAGAATTGAGCTTCAGAGTAAATCTCCAAAGAGTCAGGCTATGAAGAAAAGTGAAAGAAGGAATATCTGGAAAAACAGCCTGCCCCAGCCTGAAGAATAATCAAAGGTTATGTGTTGTCATCTTCTCTGGGCCTAAGGTAAATGGGATCTACATTTGAAGAAATGAGAAGAGAGAATTTTCAATTAGCATTAGAGAAGGAGAGAAGAGATGTAGAAAAAGAGCAAGATACATGGCTGAAGATGGGAAGAATAATAAAAGATATGATTCTCTATATAATTGCTGAGGGTCCAGGTTTGTAAGAGTAAATAGAAGATTCAGATGATCCTGGTCTTGTATCTGTGTCTTTGAGCCTAGACCACCTAAATAAAGTCTCTTTATGGCACAGAAAATGTTTGCTCTAGGCTAATTTTTCTTTTAAAAATTAAAGTTCCTTTTATTAAGACTTCTAAGAGAATTGTAAAATAAATGAGGAGATATGGTTTGGCTCTTTATGGGAAATGAGACAGTGAAGGTCAATATGTAGATTAATAGTAAATAAATCATTCCTATAGAAAAGTAGTATTCCCAGTGATGCTAGGGGACAGATTGGAACCAACTCCAACATCAAAATCATGGTTTATATTTCTGAGGACAATCTGATATTTCCAACAAAAAAATGTTTGAGGACAACCTGTTGTTTCCAACAATGTTTTGGCCTATGCATTTCCTGATGGTTCCAAGTAGAGGCTATGGGAGAGAAGGTTTCTTCATTCAAAAAAACTTAATATATATTCGTGATGATTATTATAATCTGAGACATGCCTAGTACATACACCTATTCATATCTATGTGTATCCATATGTCACACACATAAAATAGGGCAGGGAGATACACATCTACCATAAATGTCCACTTTATACCAATTTAGATTATTTGCTTCTCAAAAAAATAAATAAAACTCCAAACTTTATACCATTAGTGCAGCCCAGGAAATCATATCTCTCATGATAATTCTCCTTCTTAATTAAATAACAATTTAGAGACCAGGTTCAGGTAGAAATGAGAAGTGTCCTCCATAGCATAATTCATGATTTATGTACTTGGAAGAAAGAAAACTTTGTCATGATAAACTTAGAGCTTTCAAGGCAACTTTCAAGTTTCAAGTCAGTTTGAAAAGCAAAGAGCATGAAAAGTACAGATTTTTATATGTCCATGCCTGGCAGTAGTAAATGTTAACTCTACACATTTCCCAGGGTAGAAAAATGAATCACATCATCAGCACTAAGGACAAGGGACTTTGGTTAATATAATACAAGTCAAATGGAGATAGCTAGCAGTCTCAAATCCATTTACAAATGACATATTGTGACATATATATACTCCACTTTTTTATTTTCACAATTTCATATGAGGAAACAGAGCTAATAGAATTGTGTCAATGCATGTTATGGATGACTGTATTTGCACAATATGTCATTTGACATGCATTGACACAATAAATACTGCTCCATATTTTTAAATTGTAGTAGTAGGAACCAGTTTGCTTTCCATGCAGGTAGAAATCATGCATGTTCGCTGAATGTGCCACATATGAGACCACTCCTTATGTGTGTGAATATAAAAATGCACATGAACACCAAGAAATAATACATCTCTTACTTTTGTTTACTTTTTCAGGAAATTAAATTTAGGAAGTTGGTCTGGAGAATGAACATGAGGTGGACAGAGAGTACTAGAGAGTGTCATAAGAGACATATGTGACCACCTATGAAACAATATGGCAGCATGAGCCAGCAGAAAGTATATTGGATTGTCAAGAGGGTGTGAGAGTTCTAAGAGCTTCAGATAGGCCCAAAGTGGTAGGATCTTCAAGAGCTGGACTTGATATACCCAGTCCATGAACAAAAAACATCCATGTATTTTTATGGCCCATATCCTAACAACTACCTCTTCATGTACCCATGTGTAATCCCCACCATCATCTCTCATTTCACAAATAAATTCCACATGCATATGAATATTTTATGTTATTTCTTCATAAAAGGTATACTCCACGTTCTTTATTTTCACAATTTCATAGGAGGACATAGAGTTAATAACATCAAACTTTTATGTGATTTCATATTATATTATTATGGATCAATTTCTAATAATGTGTAGACTTTTTTAAAACATCATGAATGATATACAATTCCAGTGATATCCTTCATATACTCTATTATAATAACTGATTTTTACTTTTATTTTAAATTTTTTAATGGGAAAGTCATCTTAATAAGTGACTAAAAAATTGTGAGAGTCATTTTCATGGCTGGTATTAATGCCTGAAAAAGAACATACATGAATCAAATATGTTTAATGGCACAAAGTCCACACAATGCCTTGTATAAATTTGTTTTTATTGCTGCTGTTTTGTTTCTGTGCCTCAGTGAGCTTCTCCTGTGTGTCCTCTGCAAGCAATGCCCTTCCTATTTATGAGCATGGTAAGGCAGAAGCAAAGGTGGGACCTGAGCTTGGGCAGGAGATATAGCTGACTTGTTACCACAATTTTGTTCACTCCAATTTTCTTTCCAATACATGATAGTGATTCAGGGAATATGCCTTCAAGAATAAGACAAGATTCCTCAGCACAAAGCCCCAATGGGCCACGGTGGGTAAGACAGTAGACAGTGTCCGGGGATGTGATGAGAAAGTTCCCCAACATATGGCACAACCTCAAGCTGGCACTCTCATGTTATAACCTTCCTATTAAGCATGTCCCCACTTCTTCCTTTTACTGCTAATGTCGTGCATACATCTCTTTTTTTCTGCACTCATTGTTCCCATTCTCTTTAGCATTATATTACTTACTCCTTTACTCCCTCATCTCAACAGAAAACCATTGAGATTCATCATTTTACACACTAATACCATAAATACTAACATCCCTTCACACCAGTAATCTGTTATTATTGTGCAAGACTTGACCAAAACCTTTAAAATCTAATATGTGTGAAGAGAAAGTATGTTCACATACAGACTCTCTCACCCAAATGTCTATGGATGACCCTTCTTTTCAGTCCTTCATTGACTATACCTATAGTATGTTTTAAGTGCTGTCATAACAGAAAATACACACATACAAATATACACATGACACACACAATCTAAAGCACATGCACAGACACACAATCATCAAGATCACCTTTTAATAGCACCAGAAATATTTACCAGATATGTGCAAGAACATACACAGCATTCCATAAAATATACCATTACTTAATACTCCACATATCGGTGCCATGTTCATACCTCAGACAAGACAACCATATGCACAATTCTCAAATATTATATATATACATGTTTATATATTATATAAACACACACACATCTCATGCTCACCATCTGGCTTCATTAGATTTAAAATTTTCTTTTCTAGAAATCAATAAATTACATCAAAATGTTTCATAACCTGGTTTCTCTGAGATGTCTCTAGTATAGAACTTGAAGGAATTGGAGACCCTCTCCTACTTTACATGTCTAATTCCCACCTCACTTGGCCAGTAAACCCTCTAAATGCTCAGTGGTTATGAAAAAGGAAAGAGTCATAAAAATTCACTACATACATGTCTGATGAAAGAGGGGAATAGCTGTCCTATGCAATAGAGAAATACAGAAGCCCTCCAAAAAGAAGGTAGGAATTTAAAACATCACCATTTCTTAGGAGATCCAAATAGAGGAAGGCCTTTTTCCTGTGTCCACAAAAGAACTCCTAATGGGCCCAAGAGGAAAAGAAGGGGGCTCACAGACAAACACAGCATCATGCTCTGGACTAAAGACCAGGGGCCAGAACCCCTGAGTGGCTGGTAGGCCTCAAGAATGACCATAAGTGTATGAGCTGCTGCTGAATCTTCACCAGCTCAGAGGCCCTTCAGGATCATGTGCAGCATGTGGTCAGTGGGGGCTTTACCTGCCAGGCTTTCCACCTCATCTTTGCCAGAGCAAGGAGCCAAATGAAGAGGAAAGAAGAAAAGGAGGGAGCAAAGGGAAATGGAGAAAATTACTGCTTGATGAAATAAATAAAATCCATTGTGGATAAGCACAGCCTTGTAGAGAATAAACCACTATAGAAAGAGAGACCTGATCCTATGGGGAACATATATGTCATGCCTAGATCTACGAACAGTAGAAGAGAAGATTGATTACAACTTAGCAAGAGGTTAGGGGAAAATAGTGCTAGAATTCAGAGAGACACTGTACTTAGGCTTCTCACTCCTCAAGTCTCCATTTATTGTGAGTGTGAACACCTGGCTCTTGATGTTATCCTCCAGTCCAGATTGCCCTTCACTTTCTTCAACTTATTTAATTGTGCACGCTTCCAAAGATGAATTTTAATTTTTGATTGTTGTTTCACCATCACCAATCAGAATAACAAAATAATAACATAAATTTTTAAAGGTGAAAATTACTAAGTCATATGCTCATATATATGTTATATATCACTGTTCACCTCATGACTTCCTCTGTATAAATGTTTACTTTTGAAAACTGTCAATAAAATCCTTTTTAAATTTTCAATTTCTTCTCTTTGTCTTTCTGATTGAAGAAAGCAACATTAATGATCAAATATTAAAATTTGTCTTTGGAATTGCACACAGTAAATTGAATGAAACGAAGCACTGTATCCAGGCTGGAGGGTTAAGATGATGATCCTGGTGTTCATGCCTACAATAAAGAAGACATGTACTTGAGGAGATAGAAGTAGAACCCAGAAGAAAAATTATTCTATCTTTAACTCCTCTCTGTAACCAACAAGTGAGGTGAATGAAGTTGCTTTATCTGATATCTGCCCAATATTGTATTTATTTCACAAGTAAGATTCTCTACCTTTACACTCCATCTGTGAGCAAACAAGTCAGATGAGCTAAGTGAGGTCCTTATTTACTTAACCTTTTACTTTATTTATTTATTTAACCTTTAGGACTGAGTTAGAGGTAAACATCTATGCAAGCATGTTGAACAATCTGTGCTGATAGCATGAAGGATTAATAAGGAAGACATAGAGATGTTGATCATTAGTGCAGAATTTTCTATTGCAATTCTAAGTAAGGTGTATGAACTTATGAAGGTGGTTTTTCCTCAATTCCATTTTTTTTAAATTTCAGATAGTTGTATCTATTAATTTTATTCTCTGTATGTCTCTATAAAACTTTTAATGAAGTTTTATTTTGTCTTACTTAGCTAGAGTCAGTTATACTTCTTTGTCAGTAAATACACCTTACTTGACATTAACTCTACCAAGATAATTTTTTCACACTAATAAATTTAGGTGGTAAATGACTGAAAGTAGTAGCATACTATCATGAGACTTTATGCTGAAACACAAATGGATAATCAGCTCTATGGATACAATATTGCCCTGATTGACTAGGGAGATGAATTAAGAAGGTTTAGAAATAAAAGCAAAATGATTGGACTTAGATATAGCAACCCTGAGGTCAAAAATCCCTCACTGCCACCAAACACCTCTCTATGCCTTCTGAGTTGCCTGTTTTGTCTTGAAAATGGAGACTAAGATACTTAAATTGTTGATACTTTTATTGATAATTAGGCACAATTTAAAAACCTAATAGAATATGAGGCACGAGGGATTTCTTAATGTATTTTCACCTTTTTAGCTTTGAGACTTTCTACCTTCAATTCTCAGCTGTAGGGCATGACTTGCTTCCTGCTTCCCTGTCTTGGGGCCACACATGTGGCTGGGATGGCTCCTGGCAATCAGCCAGGAGGTGGTGCTGTGGGTGGTGATGGAAAAGGCAGACCACCTCCAGGATAGGTCCAGCACTCTTCCACCCTCATGAACAGCTCATGCCTTCCCTTACAGACTATGGGATGGGTGTACACGTGAACGCACTCCACCCCTCTGACCTTTATCCTGATTGGCTCCTGTGCAATATTTAAGCTGTGTGTGCTTCCTCAATAAATGAGATCCCACTTCAACTCATCCCCCTGGTGTGTCTGATTGTCCTCCCTCGAAGGAGGGCTGGGTGCAGGCCACCAGTTGACCTTTGCCTATCTTGGCTCATTCTGGTCAGGGCGTGCTTTCCCCATCTCTCACACAGGTCAGGAGGAAACAGGGGGCTAAAAACCCCAACATCTGGTGCCCAAACATGGACATTGAACATGGACACAGAACAGGGACGTGGAACAAGGACAAAGAAAAAGTCAGTTCACCAAGAGTGAAAGTATCAGCAAGCCAAGCCAAGCAAGTACCGAGGTAAGGGTATCCCTGGAAACATGGGGCAATCTCACACTCCCTGGTTGATGCTTCTCCTGCTCCCCTATATGGCTGAGGGGGAGGAGGAGGGAGAAGTTTGTGAGAGGGAGCCAAGCTGGCCATCTCGAGGCCCGCTCCACACCCTGCAGGCCTTGGGATGTCTGTCCCACACCGCCCTCAGGCATTGGGCCACCTGGGATGGCACAGAACAGTTGGTGAGGAAGAGGGAGATTCCCCTGGCCCCTCACCTCCCTTAACACAAGGTAGACAGCCAGGACGAAAACGGCCTCCACCAAATTGTCACTCCTCCCCCCATGGAAATTCTCTGCCATGTTGTACAAAGCTGGAAAAGCTGGTTAAGCCAAATTCACCCTGGGCCAAAACCATCCTCCAGGATCTAGCCCACCAACAGTGTACCACCTTCCAAACTACCTTAGATGTGTGGAGATAACTTTAGCTAAATTTTAACTTTGATATCTTCCTTTAAAAAAAAAAACCCTGTCCTCATTATTAAATTGGCATTAATTGGCTTTGAGGACAGGAACTGAACTTTCAGATACAAATTTTTACGCCCCAGGAGCCCCCACTCCACTTTCTTGGGGAAACTACTACTGAAAAGTTAGGAGATATGGAGTGTGCCTGGTGCCTGGGGTGGGAAAAAAACAGAGGAATGAATCCTGTAAGTGAAAGGAGGGACTGAGGGACTCCTAGCAGCTGCCAAAGCCCTTTTGCTTCAGGGAACTCCCTCCTTCCTTCCCTGCA